TTCTACTGCTATCTTTGGTTTAGATTGCTGATTGCTTCATTTGTTGATGATTACATATATATCCTTTTGGTAGCTGCTGTATGAATTCCTGTAATTAAGAGGCAGGTTATAAATAGTGAATTGGATCCAAAGTTATCATTGGAAACTCAGATTTGAATAAGTCATGACTACTCCTCACCATTTGGGAAGATATCTGACTGTTTATTAAGGACATTAATGCACAATATTGTTCCACATGTTTCCTGGCCAGTTGTGTTCTATAAATCACTTATGGGGATATTAGCAATAGCACTTAGACTTATATACCGCTTCACAGTGCTTCTACAGCCCACCTATAAGCAGTTTACAGAGTCAGTATATTATCCCCAACAATCTTGATCCTCATTTTACCCATCGTGGAAGGATGGAAGGCTGAATCAACCTTGAACCTGGTAAGATTCAATTTGCCAAATTGCGGTCAGCTGGCAGCCAGCAGAAGTAGCCTACAGTACTGCATTCTAACCACTGTCCCACCGCGACTCTATGGATCAGGTGTGTCAAACTCTATTTCATTGAGGGCCACATCAGGGTTGTGTTTGCATGGCCAGCTCAATATCACACGTGTCAGGAGCACCTTACCAGACGCAGGCAAAGCCACCACAGCGGTAGTGTCCTGAGTTGCTTTAGCATGCTCGGTTAGTTAAAAATCGCCCTACCCAGAGAAGGAAGTGGTGCTGGAGGAGGAGGAGGCAGTAGTGGAGAAGCAAGCAACTCAGCTGCTACCACTGTGGCTTTGCCTGTGTTTCTGAGGCTTCGGTGTTGGGAGAGGCAGCAAGGGCTAGAAAAGGGGAGAGCTGTGCACGGCTCCGTCTCCCTTTCCTTTCTGCGTGCACATGGGCAGGGGGGGAGGAAAGAGAGAGAGCCGGGAGCAATTCAAAGCTAGAAAACTAATGGGGAGAGCTGACAGTGGGCGCTGGGGGGGGAGGACTGTTGTTGCCGCCGCCGCCATGTTTGGGAGCGTGCATCTCAGGGACCAGAGCCAGGAGGCACAGGAACTGCAAGTGGGAGCATTTGATGATTTCGAAGAACTCCTGGAACACGGTAGATTGGCGTTTTGTACGTCTCAGTGAAAGAGTGAGCTTGGTTTCGTCTCCTTTCCTTCCCTGGTAATGCAAGAGATGCTTTCTCTCTCCCCCCCACCCCCAATTAATCATCAAGAGCTGCAGTCCTTCTGCAGGCAGATGCCTGCTGAGAAGCCTGTGGAGTGGCAGCCAAGGGGCGCTGCCCCCAAGAAGAGCAAAGCCCCCTTCTGCCTCTGCTTCTCCCAGTGGCAGTTGCCCCAAGACCCCTCAGCTCAGACACATACACACACACACTCTGCCTGCTCTTCTGTCTCTTTGGAAGGTGCCATGTGGGGGGAGGCTTAATTATTTTGTTATCATTAAGCATTTTCATTTTTGTTATAATTAAATAAGTGTGTGTGTGTATCATGTGTGTGTGTGTGTGTGTGTATATGTTTTCTTAAGTTTTCGTGGGTACTTACATGTATGGTATTCAGCTTTGTTCGGGTATTTTCCCACGTCATTATAGTTGTGCTTTTAAAGTTGTATAGCTGTGCTTTTAACGTTGCTACAACTTTAAAAGCACAACTATAATGACGTGGGAAAATACCCGAACAAAGCTGAACACCATGTATGTATGTATGTATGTATGTATGTATGTATGTATGTATATGTTTTTGTAGATTTTCACAGGTACAAGTATGTAGGTCTAGGTGTGTTCGGGTCTTTTCCCATGTAAGATTAAGAGTATCTTGGCAATGTTTCAGTGAGGTCTCACTCGCCATCCTCAGGCTGGTGCTTTCGGCTTCGTGCCAGTGCAAGCAGTGTGTGATCAGAGCTGCTGTCTCTCTATAAATACTGGTGGTGGGGGCTGGTGTGCTGGGCTGGTTGGCTGCACTGCTGCCTCTTGATTGGTTGATGGAGTTGATGTTGGTATAATGGGCTGTGTGATGGCCTTGTGAGTTTTGTTGTGGAGATATCCTGGATCTTGTGCTGTGATCTCCTGAGCCACTTGCTTGTTTTATACTTATGACACCCTTTCCTTTGATACTGTATCTCACCTATCTCTGTCAATATCACCTTCCTTGTTTTCTATTAGAATAAGCCCCCCCCCCCCCCCCGAGTATAATGGCCTTTCCTTTGGCATATAGTAATCTTGGGATGTAGAGGTAGAATACAAAAATATTTTTCTAAAATTCCCAATAACACTGGAACTTGAGAAATTGATTGGCAGTAGTTTTGGCAATAACCAAAAAAAAGAACAGGTTATTTTTATATAATAAATGTAATATGCTATTTACTAATGAATTACTTCAACACCTTAGAATTTGTTTGTATGGGAATAAAAGGAAGAGTGCAATTTATGACTATAAGTATCACCAGAAATTTGGAGATTTACCAGGATTTTGGTTTTGTGTGCCTGATACTGGGAGAGCGGTAAAAAAAATGAGAGAAGGAAAAATCCTATTCTTTCCATATTCCATTTGACCAACTATCCCGAACTCAGAACTTTGTAGGCCGAAAGCAGTTTTTGAGGAAGGTTAAAGGTTTCTAGTTATGCATTACTGGACACTGATGGTGGCTATTAAAGTTTGTGATAACCTTATAATTGTAAATAAATTTCTATAGTACAACCTTGGCCTAGAAGTTCTTTATGCTGGTGAGCACCTCCCAAGGGCTGAAGAGAGAATTTTAATCAAAGAGCATTTGCTTTAATAATTCTTCCAAAGAAAAAGAGAATTTCAGATACATTCTCTTGGTTGGAGTATGATGTTCTTGCTCTTTTTTTGTGATGAAAAATGCCAAGAAGTGTGTATCCCGGTTTTCAGTGCAGAATAATTTCTCCAGTGGTCTATAGATGCCGGACTCCTTGTGCCATTATTAGGCTCCAAGGAAATATGTCACAAGGAACTTGCCTTATGGATTTTTTTTTAGTAGTGGCAGTGTTGTCACTACTGGGGGAGTTCCTTCCTTGATACTGTTTATGAAATTTCTCCATTTCCCTGGAGACATTCTGAGAAATCATCAAATTTCTCTGCTCAAAAATATGGGGAGAATTTTGAAAGCTCATGTTCATCTATTTCTAATTGTTACCTATTAAAGCTGATATTTCATGGATGCATTTTTACATGGCTCTCTTAATATTGAATTGGTTCTCAGCCAAAACAATAGTAATCTCAATATTAATAATTTTATTAATTTTGACAGGCTAATAGATTGAAAATAATATTCTGACTTTCCATTTGGTGATTCTTTGACCTATTTCTTGGATATTTGTAAATATTAAGGTTTCTCAAGTTTTTAAATGGGCTCTTGTGTTGATTTTTCAGACTAGACTTCATATAAAACCTAAAACTTACAAGTGAATAGTGACTTAAGGGCAGGTCATTTGTTTTCTTTCTTACTTATAATCATTATAATTGCTTAATAAACCTGCTAGTGGTGTGTTATCTGTAGGTTGTTTGTCACATTGCTTTAATCAGATTATTAGATTGTCATGAAACCCATTTTCCAAATTGGATTAATTAGAACTCATTTTCAAGCCAATGTGTCCCAAATTGTAGTTGAAAGGATTTACCAATTGCATGTCAGCGACAAGTGGATGTGGTAATCCATTTTGTAGTAGCACCTGCAGATTATACATGCAGAACCTGTTTTCAAGCATGCAAAGATCACCTCAACTCAGATATTCCCAAGAGGCTTTTGTGCACTTAAGTTGATTGCAGCATGTTCAGGAAAAGCCTTACGTATTTCCTGCTCAGGTTTCCTCTTGGAAAATAGCTGAAGAATCTTGACATCAGTATTATAGTATCTGGGGTTGAAAATAAACAATAGAATGAGCTCCTGAAGAACAGAGTTGTGGTCCTAGTACAGACTTCCCAATCTAGTACACTTCGGATATGTTGGATTTCTTACCTGGAAGTTGGGTGGTTCAACAAACAACTGATTAGTGGACTTTGTTCCCAACTGTGTTTGGCTTGCTTAAAATAATAATACAAATCATATTTTGCAGACCTGACTGTCCCCACTAAAGCAGTGTTGGGCCAACAATGATCTGATGTCATACTTATACATTAATCACATTTTCACACTTCTAAATGGAGGATGTGCTACTGAACCATAATATTCTTCCAGACCCACTTCACTGTTAATCTTTAGAAATTCAGTCAAAACCCAGTTATTTAAGTAAGCATTTGGAGGATTTGTATAGAGAATGTAGATAACTAAGAACATTGTGGGTGCTATTAATGTTATTACATTATGATTCTGTAGATACAGTTTATTAATGAAAGGTACTTTATAATTTATTGTAAATGTTTTTAATGAAGAATATAAAAGCTGTTTCAATAATACGTAATGTTACTTATAAATGTTTTATGATAAATAAGTTCCAAGCAGAAAGTAATGAGAGGATTATGAATTTTCATTTGGTGTCTTCGTAGGTAAGAAAGGTATGTTAGTTAATCACTGCTCTGTATTTCCTACCACAGAGTAAACTGGATTCAAACTCCTAGCTACTTAGCTTGATCTGTCTCCTAAGATAGTGCACTTCGTTTATTTATTTACATCCCATACCTTTTAATCTGAAAGTGATTAGAGCAGTTAACAATATAAACATTAAAATAATACCATATAAATATCAAAAGAAAAATTAGTTGTTTTTAAATTGGAAGAGAAAGAAAAGTAAGCTTTGACTTAATTCTTAAATATATCAGTCTAGCCTCCAGATTAGCTTCTGCAAAGAAACTCTTGTTTCTGTCAGTTCTGAATGAGGGCATCCTGAAGACAGATTAATAAGTGGTGGAGGGTTTGCTTGTCTTCTGAACAGTTGGACTGCAGAGACAAGAACATCTAGGATGTTCATTCTGAAGATTAAACCAGGACTTGTAAATAATCACAGCTTGTTTGATTTTTCCCGGGTGCTAACTTTATGTTTTTTTGTATTAATGCTCCATTTAGGGGCCTGGTGTTTGTTGTTCATGGTGCTGGAGAACACTGCTGTCGCTATGATGACTTGGCCAAGATGCTGACAGGAATCAACTTTTTTGTGTTTGCCCATGACCATGGTGAGTGCCTTTGGAAAAAAATGTATGGGGATAGGATTAAAGGGGATTAAGTATGATATTGTAGTAGATGAAATATAGGGCGAGGTCTGTGAATATTCAAGATCAAGTGCACCCTTATCTATGGAAATTCACTGGATAACTTTCATTCATTCCTAGTCCAACATATTTCACATAATGACTGCAGATGAAATGAAGAATTGCACATAAGCCACAGTGAGCTTCTGAAAAGAAGGTGGAATATAAATTGAATACATAAAAAGTAAAAAGTGCTTCAGGGATAATAAAGTAATCTAATTCTTGATTGTTGTCACTGTGGTATTCTGCCCATACGTGATACTTTTATCTAACTATAAAGGAAAATGTAGTATGAAGGCTAACTGAGATAATCAGATATTGATTATCCATTCCAATTGATTGGAATCCTGTTTATATTATGTCAGCTGAACATGGAACTGCCTCTGCATATTTTTAAGAAATGCAGAATAAAGAACATGCTGTGGAAGAAGTTTTGAGATGTGAAAAACTTGAGCTTTTCAAATTAAGTATTATGGGCAGAAGCTATTTTTATCTTGCACTTGGCTGCCAATACTTTTGGATTATTATGAAATATAGATAAGGTTGCTCTGGGAAGGAAAATAGTTATGTCTTTGTTTTCAAAACATAAAGAACCTGCTGGATCAGATTGTGGGTGTCTCTAACCAGATATTATCTAAGATTGGCCGTCAAATAATTCTGAAATATTTGCTAACAATCTATGAAGATTTTCTTCCACTGTAGTTTTGCAGCATCTGAAGTTTCTGTAGAAGCATTGTAGCTAACTATAAAATTAACCAGTTTGTTCAGCAACCACATTTGGAGACCGGTATTTGAAGAAGACTGAAGTAGTTCAGCAGTTTTATCTGAAATTACTAATTTCTGTTAATAGTCAAAAAAAAGTTCTGAGAAATAACATGCAAAAAGAAATCCTTTGAAGTGTCAGAAAAACATGTCCTATAAGTCTTTCATGTCTTAAATAATTAAAACAAACAAAAACCATTTTGAGATATTTTTTATTATGTTTCTCCCAAATGGGAGAAACATTATGGAAGGAATTATTGTTTTCTTTCAAGGACACAATGAGTGTCTTCCTATTTTAAAAAAGGTAATTGAATTAATTAAATAAATGAGAAGTCTTGGATTAAAATATGAATAGTATTCTTCCTACTAAGTTCTGATTCTGTTCTGACACACACACACACACACACACACACACACAGATATTCTCTTTCTTCTATTATCAACTTTAATATTTCTTTGGGAAAACTTTCAACATGAGTTTAAAGAAAACATATGGATTATGTTCATCTGTTTATTTACCCAAGAAATCACAATTATTTAGTAGATGACTTTTGCTGGAGTCATGCAGCTGAAGCAATTAAATGCATAATTCCTTTTAAAGACCATCTGTGAGCGTGTACTTCAGTTGCATCTTTTCTAGTTCGCCATATCATGGTAATAGCACTTAATGTTTCAAATATTGTTTTTTTGTCCATCAGAAACCTATTGGCACAGATGCCTTTAAAAGCTATTACTTTGTTTCTGTTACTTTTTTATCATTAAAATAAATTGTAATGAGAATTACTTCCTTTTCGCTCCTCTCTTTCTCCTTTCTTTCTTAGTCACACCGTTTAGTTCATTAAAAATGGCTTCTTCTTCCTCGATTTCTTCCAGCTGTTGTTTAATTTGCTGACACATAGCAAGCGCCATATCTAGGAAACAAAGGGCTTCTCCCATAACATCTTTGCCTTCTTTCTTTGTTTTTAGAAATTGTTTTTTTAATTCATCAAGAGATAGAGCCATTTTAAAGTTTCTTCTTCTCTTTCTGTATCCTCTTCTTAAACCAATCAGTTATTTCAAGGCTTAAAACAGTTCCCAAAAGTCCCAAAGTCCCACAGTCATCAAACAGTCCAGGCAGAGTAGAAGCTTCTTCTTTTTACAGTTTCTCTTCTAGGGGTGAAGTCAAATTAGGGAAAGAAAATTCTCTTTATCTTCAAGGCATCTCCTCCAGCAAAGTCTTAGAGTAAAAATTTGTTTTCCCAAGCCTCTCCCTTCCCACTTATAACAAAGGAGTTTAGGTTTTACCTTCTACCAAAAGGCTGGTTTCCCTTGTCCATTTGTTAATTCCATAGGGGAGGGAGAGTAACTTCCCCTTTTCGTCACTTTTCTTCGCAGCTGAAAACATCAATCGGGAACAGTAGCTTCCAAGTCATTACTTTCCCAGGTGTTAAATATATCCTTAAGGTCCCAGTTCGACCAAGAAAAAACTTTCCTTTTTAAAAAAAAAAAGAAAACTCCTTCTCCCTCCTGCGCATTCTTAATCCAATTGCCGGCTTCTTTATGGTGGCCATAAAAAGACCACCGCTGGAACCGTCTTGAGAAAAGGGGGTTATTGCCAGCTGGGGGGGGGGGTTGCGATGCCTCTCACCCCCGTCCGGATCCCCCCTCTCTTCAGCTGCCCCAGCAGGGCAGCCTTAGCCTCCAAATCCGTCAGGATCGGAGGCACCAAGGCGGCTAGCACAGCAGGAATCGCAGAGAAGGCGAATCCCTGCTGTCAGCAAAGCCGACAACCGGAAGTGTCGAGAGAGAATTACTTCATTGGGTTTGGGCACTATATACATAGTGTAAATGTTCAAAAGATAAAAGTTTGAAACTCAGTGGGGTTTGTTTTCAGAAGAAGGTGGCATTTTAAAAGCAACAGTCTGTATGTCACACAAAATATCTCTGGATTTCCGAAGGCCACAGCTCTGTATGAAAACCAGGTGAAATACTATGAATAGTGGCATTAGTCAGGTTTCACTTGGAATCTTCAAGTTGCAGTATCTTAATAAACAAAGGCACAGTTGAATGCCTTCCCTACATCTATATTACTTTTCTTTCTTCACCTGAGCCAGCAAACAAATCTTTTGTCATGGTTCTCAACAAAAAAAGGATGGATTAATTTTATGGAAAGACAGCGATATGGTCAGTTTTGTGTACACTAAACTACTATGGTTATTTCATTTCCTTTATTAGTGATCTTATATTATGTTTATTCCTTCATGGAATAAATAATTTTTAAAACCATATTAAAATCAGACATTGGCAGCATAATATCTACTTTGACTTTGAGCTCCCTTCCTTATTTTTCCTATTATTACAAGTTCCTATACAAAAAAGAAATAGAAACTCTATGAAATATCCATTTTTTAAAAAATCTGGAAAAAGCCACCTGCTTTCTGCACTCTTCATTTCAATGGTAGCTATCTCATTGCGTTGTGTGCTCATCCTGACATCTTGAATTTTAGTTTTAAATCTTGCCCAAGTAATTGTCAAAGATGAAGAAATAATATATTAAAGAGGTATCCAAAACTAATCCAGTTGCATAAACTTTGACAGGCTTTCAGATGTATTAATGAAAGATATGTATGTGGATATTTACAACCAGAAAACTGATTTTCTAACCTGGTAATCGCAGCATGTCTTCTTTTGAAGGCTTATAGATAGGAAGCTTCCGCCCCGCCCCTTCAGTTCTAGATGAAAACTAATAGAAGAAACTCTTAATCCAAAATGGAAAAAAGATGTACTTAATCATCCAGTGGTTGATTCCACACATTGCACTAAAATCATAATGTGTTTCAGTTTTGCTTCACATCCTTATTTTAAATTATATTTGGGGCTGTTTAATTACCTGAAGATTCAGCTTTCAGAAGGCTAGATGAAATTACCAAACTGCCTCATTTTTATTCTAACCCAAGGTGATTAGTTCAACTAGGGAGGTGTAGAAATTGTGTTTTGAATACAAATGTAAATTTCATATTTTAACTACTATTCCAAAGAAAGATTAGTTAAAAATTAATAAAACTCTAAATTTTGCAAAGCAAAAAATTAAAATTTTACAATGCAGCAATTAAATTTTACATTAGCAAATTATTTCCCTAAAAGACATTATATGTGAAAGAAAGCATTGTATTTAAGATATTAGAAAAAAACAGAGTAGAAAAGAAAGAATTGCTTGTATAGAAAAATGTACAAAAAATATAAATGGGCTTTAATACAAACTGTACAAAATTCTGAAGTTTTCAAAAGCCTGAACATATTTACAAAACTAGGAAATTAAGGACTGAACTTGACATATTCACAGAAATGAGGAATGATAAAAACTGACATTGACAGAGCTGTGTATCCCAGGTTGAAACATTGTTCATATGGCGATTCATTGTGATTTCCTAACAGGCTGCACTTCCAGAAAAGCTAAAAGAAAAATAATTTTTGTCTATATGCTGACAGAGTAGAGATTTGCTATATTTCCTATTTGAGATGTTATCACAAATCAATAGGATACATACATAAGAATCATTTTAGTGTACATATATATTTTGGACCTGTAGTGTACATATATATTTTTGTACTCTTCAGATGTTTTGGACTTCAGTTTCAATAAACCCCAGCTAATAAGTCTTTAATGTAAGAAATAGAGTGGTTACAGAACAAACAAGAGGGTGAGGTGCTTTTTCAAAAGGCTTTTTCCAGGAAAAACAAGCTTCCTTTGAAAAAGCACCTTTGGGACAACCATGACTTGGATGACTGAGAATCCTCATAAACAAGAGGATGGAGGGAGTCTTGGTATTTTTTGAGTGAGGTTCTCATCAAGACAAAGAATTCTTCAAATATTATAGCCAACAGAAGTCCTAGGAAATTGCTGTAAATGATTTGGCATATATCTGCATTCCATAGAGGAACAGTAACATTTGTATGATTAATATGAAATGCTTGTTTTGGTTTGATACTTTCTACTTGAAGAATAGGATTTTGAACTCAACTCCCCAAAAACCTTTGGATACATTTTCTCTTTGGTCATTGTTTGAATGCAGGATCTCCTCCTGTGCTTTGGGTTCAAGGTTGGGTTGCTTCTTTTAAGGCTCCCAAGTATGTTCCATTTGAAACATACTTCCAAGAATACGGAGGCAAAGTGCAATCACGTT